ACATAGGGAATAAATCACTGGATTCTACTCCTGAAATCATTATTGCACTATATGCTAACTAACTTGGATATAATTTTAAAAATTAAAAATACACTGCAAAATAAAATTTGTAACATTAAAAAGAAAAAAAAAATGTGACACAGAGACACAAAGTAAGCAAATGCTGCTGGAAAAATGGCATTGATAGATGTGCCTGACACAGGATTGTCACAAACCTTCAATGTGTAAAAACAAAACAAAACAAAACACCCCATAGTATTCATGAAATGCAATAAAAGGTGTGTAAACACAAAACAGACCTAAAAATACCTGATCTGAAATGACAGAAAGCACACCGATGGTTGCATGGAATAATGAATAGCTGATGGCAAAGGGACCCAAAGTAATTTTCTAAGGTGATACAAATGTTCTAGGTCTTCACTGATGGTAATGGTTATACCCTTATAGATAAAATATGTATCAAAATTCCAACTGTACAACTAAAAAAGGGTTAATTTATTGTATGTAAATTATGCCTCATTAAAATTGATTCTTAAAGATTTTAATGCAGCATAAAAGCTCTGAGTCTTTAAAAAAACAAAAAACAAAAAAAAAGGGAGGAGGAGAAGCCTGCAAGATGTGTGAATTATCCATAAGGTACTAATTTGTTGACACATAACTGAAGATTCCCTGAATCCTGGCAATGTGTTTTACAGCAAGAAAAAAATAATTTTATCGCCAGTTACAATGGTTTCCTTTATTGTTGGGAGCAAGCATAGGTTATAGATTTTTTGGAGGATGAATAAAAGCAGGATGAATTGTTTTCAATTCACACTAATGTAATGGCAAACAGTGTGTATAACAAAAGAAAAAAAAGGAAAAAAATACACGGGAGAAACTAGAAACAAAAACTAAACTGTTAACGATAGTTAGCTCTGTTATAAGATTAGGGTAAATTTTTTTTTTTTTTTTTTTTGAAACTGCCATGTTTTCTTGGCAAATGCCAGCATTGCTAGCCACCTTATAGAGGAACAGGTATAACAGGTATATTAACAGTCATATAAACAAGGTCATGTAAGGAATTTAACCTTCCTCTTGCTTCAGTTTCTTAATCTTCTACATAAATATATGGCCATAACTGAAAGAGTGTAATAATGCAAGAAAGCAGGAGTTTATCGTAAAAATTTAAGAGGTTAGATATAATTTTTATATCACCATTTATTTGTGAATTTGTTTTAATAATTACCTCATATGTTAGATGCTTACAACTAAATAACAACTGGCTACAAATCTGCAAAATAATTTCATTAACTGAGAAAACTGAACTATGATGTTTACTTTATGGCCATGTGCATTTGATTTAAAGCTGATACGTCAATCTTTCATTTAAAAAAATCCATAAATGTTTACAATACTGCTAACATATTTGTTAACATACCTTGGATTCACAGAACCGACGGTCAATTCCATGCTGACATATTATTACTGATTTGGGTCTTTCCAGCTCATACTCCCGACATACCACATGAAAAACAAATGTCTGTCCCCACTCCAAGAGACAAGCCAGCTACAAAATAAGCAGTGACAGGTTGACAGCAGTGTTAGCAATCTAAACAAGTGTTCACAGTTCTAAAGCTTATCAAGAATAATCCAGCTTGAAAGAACCCAAATGCTATTTTATACTTGCTGCTACATAATCTATTTATCAGCCAGAATCATGATTTTTCTACCTTGACATCATTGTAAGTTTATGTGACTTTTCATTTGTGAATGACAGAATGCGTGAGAATGAAAAATTCAACTTGAACAACTCACAAAGTATGTACTTTTCTTCAAGGTTATATCTTCCTTCTTAAATGACTAACTAGTATCCTCTGCACAGAAAAACAACTAAAATTTCTATCTAATAATAAAGCTTTGATCTGAAATTTGAATCTAACTATCGTAGGGAGCTACAATTTCGTAAAATCAGGTATTTTGAAGATTAAGGCACTTTTGTTTATGTAAATAGAAACTGAAGAATATATCAATTCTTCATCAAATCTTCAGTTTACAAAAATACCTTCATTTTTTTTTTTTTTTAATTTTTTTTCAACGTTTTTTTTATTTATTTTTGGGACAGAGAGAGACAGAGCATGAACAGGGGAGGGGCAGAGAGAGAGGGAGACACAGAATCGGAAACAGGCTCCAGGCTCCGAGCCATCAGCCCAGAGCCTGACGCGGGGCTCGAACTCACGGACCGCGAGATCGTGACCTGGCTGAAGTCGGACGCTTAACCGACTGCGCCACCCAGGCGCCCCAAAAATACCTTCATTTTATAATTGATTTAAAGGTGTTAATAATAAACACACTGAAACATGGGTAGACATATTATTCCATAAAAAAAAGTACGAATTTCTACTATTGGAAAACATGAATTTTACTTTTAAAATATACAAAGAATGGAATAAACATTAAAAGCACCTATGGATTCATGAAACACTCACCGAAACAGTGATGCCAAAATTCTAATGCAGAAGAGAAATGTTTTGTGTTGTAATAAGAACAACTTATAAACATATGAGATTTTAACAACTGTTAAATTAAAGGAATTGTGCCCAGTTTAGCAGGATAAGCATGGTTTTATTCCATGTTTGTTAAAGAACAAGCTATTTTTTACATGTTTCGGTTTTACTTGTACATTAGAGAAAGGAGATAGCAGACAATAATAAAGGAAGACAGTCGTCATGGCAGTCAGCACTGAATATTTCTTTTCATCCGCTTTTATACATTGTTATATATTTTCTTTATCTACTTTTATATAAAATATCCCTTTCAATTCCATTTTCTTATTTCTAGAATCTTAATGTGTGCTGTCTTCCAAAAACTGGTTACAAATATACAAGGCACCTAGAGTCTTCATCCACCTTCTTGTTGCTACTACCTACCTCTAAATGATTCATACACATTCTGTTAACTTTTATTAAAATTGAGTATGTACATTTAACACATTCAAGACCACATTCCAATCTTTTGAAATTCCACAAAAAGTATGCATATTATAAATATGTGGCTCATGGGCGCCTGGGTGGCTCGGTTGTCTAAGCATATGACTTTTGATTTTGGCTCAAGTCATGATCTCACGTTTCATGGGTTCAAGCCCCGCATTGGGCTCTGTGCTGGAAACACGGAGCCTGCTTGGGATTCTCCCTCTCCCTCACTCTCTCTCTGCCCCTCCCGTGTGTGCTCTCTCTCTCAAAATAAATAAACATTTAAAAAAATAATTTAAAAAAATATGTGGCTCAACAGGTGAAATGTTACAGTAATATGGCTATTTGGCTAAATTTCAGTGGTCCATTTCTAGAACTAAATAATCCTTATGACCTCTGAGTCATAAAGAATAAGGCGAACAATGAAGAGGAGGGGGATTTTATCCAGAAGGATCACAACCTACACTCTACATCGGTTTACTAACTAGTAAATTTGTTTTTATTTTTTTAAAATCAATATCCACGTCATTAATAGCAGATACAAATGATGTTATCTTGCTTTGAGATATGACAAGTAAAAAACCAAGCTACCTAATCCTTAACACCATAAATAATATTTTCAAATCCTACTTAAGAAATAAACAAGAAAGAAAAATTCTTAACAAATTATTCCATATACTGGGAAAAGAAAATTTTAACAGTGAGCAAACTAATGTAATTTTAAGAATACATAAAATTTCCAGAACAGTCCTCATACTGAGATTTTCCCAAAGTCTCGATCTTGAAAGCATTATGAAGAACTATAAAACATTACACCCTTCAATACTATGTGACTCAAAAAGTGAAACTTGTCTCTGACTCATCCATTGCTAAGACAATTCTGAATGGCAAGAATGACTCCAATCCAAAAGGCAAAGAGTTGTCTGGCCATCAGAATGCCAATAGTGAAAATGCAATGAACGTTTAAACAGGTATACAACTTACTCTTGGTGAAGTGGGTGAGCAAAGGAAGAAAAGTAGTCAGAGAATCATACCTGTGGTGCTGTGACCTTAGCTGTAAGGCTTCCAGCCTGCACATCAATTAACCATGCGTATTCTAAAGAATCACTTCCCAAAGGAAGACCTTCTGCTGAGAACATAGCATGTGCTCTCAGCTGGAGACCCGACAAATTGATGTGACCTTCCCGGAGTACTTCATCCACAGGGGGTCGCTGCTGAAAACAATAGTAAGACTGTAAGAAGTACAAGAAAATCAGCATTATAATTTCTAGTTGTTTTTGTTTTTGTTTTGTTTTTTTTCCTCCAGAGTCCAAGTAAAATCATGCTCTCCGGAAAATATGACTTAAGGATCCATAAGGAGTCTCATTTAAGCTCCTTTAGTGACAGTATCCATAAGAGCCCAACAGCAAAGCAAGATAGTAAAGTCCTAAAAAGAATGAGACCTCTCTGATAACTGCCTCAATGAATAAAAAGGAACTAGTACTCTGACGGACGGGGCATATAAGAGACCAGTCTTTGGTGGGAAGGCTGGAATAATAAGATTAAAATACATATTAAAAAGAGAGGCGCCTGGGTGGCTCAGTCAGTTGAGCATGCAACTCTTGATTTTGGCTCAGGTCATAATCCCAGCATCGTGGAATCAAGCCCTATGTTGGGCTCCGCACCAGGTGTGGAGCCTACTTGAGATTCTCCCTCTCCCTCTGCCCCTCCCCAACTTGTACTCTCTCTCTACAAAAACAAAAAGTAAATAAAAATAAATTGTAAAAATATTAAAAAGAAAAAAACAGAGAAGAAAAGAGACCAATATATAAGATCAAGAAATGAGTAACTAGGGAAGAAAGCTATCTTTCATATAGATTTTGAGAACTATATATAAATATAAGAAGGATAGATTTACCTTATAGAAATTATATACTTACTACTAAAAAGCAGCAAATATTTCAAAGAGAAAAGTTCTGGGATTTATTCAGAAAGCTAAAAGATATGTCCTAAAATAGGGTATTCCATAGAATACTAGTTCACAAAATATTATTAGTAATAGAGAATCAAAACACGTTCAGCCATGCCCTACCCATCAGTCACCAATTTCTGTAAACTATACTCCCAATCTCTCAGAAATGCATTGATTTTCTTCCATCTTCACTGCTATCAACATGGTCCAAATAATATGACCTCTTGCTAGGGTTTTGCAAAGCCTCCCAGCATTCACTTTTACATCTGTCTCCTACATATTCTACAAAACAACCACAGAAATCTAAGAAGGCCAATCTTATCATGTTCTTGTCTCAAGACCACTATTTATTATATTAATTTCCTCAATATTTCTCTTCTTCACCAGGTTTATTAGGGTAAAGACCATTTCTGTCTTGTTTACCACTTATCCCACTGCACCTAACAGTGACCACAAAAGGTAGATACCACTAAGTGACTCTATATTACAGCAAGTCTTTTCAGAGAATTCAGTATACTAATATATATTAAGACAGTTCACAGATAATTCCCAAGCTAATTTTACAACAGTAATCTTTTTGGTAGGTGTATGCAGGCCATCAGCACAAGGCATAGTGTTCCTTATTTCAACACATTTTAGGAAATGTATTCTTAAAAAAACAAAGAGGATATGAGCTAAATCAAATTCATAAGGAATTCTTAAAAGAAAATTTCAAATTATGACTATAATACCTCTAGAAGCTCTTTCAAAATATTTTTACTTTTATTTTCATCCAAGCTGTGTGACAGTATGTAAAATCACCTATGTTTCTCAGGCATCAGTTCCCTTCTATTTTACCTGAGGAAGTTAGAGAGGATGGTCAATAAAGATCACTTCTGGCACTAAGATTTGATAATTCTCAGTGTAAGATACTTCTGATCAATATTTTTTGAGCTCAAGAATACATATGGATCTTGGCTTGTCCTAAAGATAGATAGAGCCTACCTAGTACACCAACAAAGAGTATATTCTAGATTTTATGTGTGTTGCATCATATTGTGAGTTGAATTGTGTCCCCTAAAAAGACATATTTAAGTCCTAAGTTGAGGCTCCTGTGATTATGACCTTTCTGTATTTGAAAACAGGGTTTTAGCAGATGTAATCAAAATAAGGTTACATCAAATTAGGGTAGGCCTTAAACCAATGACTGATATCCTTGTAAGAGGAAAATTGGGACACAGACACGCACATGGAGACAATGCTATGAGAAGACAAAGACACAGAGTTGAGCAATGAGTCTACAAGGCAAGGAATGCCAAGGATTGCTAGCAACCACCAAAAGCTTAGCAGAGACAAGGAGATCCTTTCCCACATCCTTCAGAGAAAACATGGCCCTGCCAGTACCTTGATTACCTTGATTTCACAATTCTAAGCCCCAAAACTATAAGAGAACAAATATCTCATGTTTTAAGCCACCCAGTGTGAGGTACTTTGCTGTGGCAGCCCTAGGAAACTAATATACATCATAAAATGCTCATAAGTTAAAAGGGATGGTTCCATAAGTCGGACACAATAATCTATCCATCATCTCAGATCCTTAACCTTGAGGCCCTGCCTCAGTTGGTTAAGCATCTGACTTTGGTTCAGGTCATAATCTCATGGTTAGTGAGTTCAAG